ACAATAATATTTTTACAGTACTATGACGATTAGGGTAGAGGTAGACATTATTCATTCATTCATTCATTTTCGTTTCGGCTTAGTCCCTTTATTAATCAGGGGTCGCCACAGCGAAATGAACCGGCAACTTATCCACCATATGTTTTACGCAGCGGATGCCCTTCAAGCTGTAACCCATCTCTGGGAATCATTCATACACACTCATACACTATGGATAATTTAGCCTACTCAATTCACCTGTACCGCATGTCTTTGGACTGTAGGGGAAACCGGAACACCCAGAGGAAACCCACGCAACGCAGAGAGAACATGCAAACTCCACACAGAAATGCCAACTGACCCAGCTGAGGCTCAAACCAGCAACCGTCTTGCTGTGAGTCGAAGGCACTACCTACTGCGCCACTGCGTCACCCGGGTAGACATTAATAAAATACATTGGGTAATTTATTGAGTAATTTAATAAATAACATAAATAATACTTGGTACAACTACTGTTTAATAAATAATATAAAGAATTCTCATTAACTTCGGGCCGCAACCATATCTGATCTAGCAACAACAACAACCATCTAATAACAACTGTCCAACAACAGTCTAATATGCATGCAAGTTCAAAATCACTTTCATGGACTTATAATCTGCATTTATTTTTACCTGATTATCCCAGCGACTCGCATATGAATCGTTAGTGATTCATTTGTTCCCAAACCCCTCCTTAGCGCGAAGATAGTATGCGCTGATTGGACCGATGACAGCCTGCTGCGATTGGTCGAAACTGACAGCCTTCAACGCGAGATAATACCCATCTGCCCAGCGTGACTTTATTTGACCGGTTGTGTGTGTGGCTTTTTTTCTGAGTTAGAGTGCGGGGCAGCAGGTTTTAAATCTCCAGGGTGTGTGCGCGCAACTACTTGTGTTACGTGGGTACATCATCGCGAAACACCTAATGACTCGTTATCAAGACGACTCGTTTGAAGCACTATGAGTCGACTCTTTTATAGATGAATCAATAGTTTTAAGCACTGTACACTTACAGATTTAGGCTTTAGCTGGATATTTCACTTCACTTAGAGCTGTGTTACACACTACATGGAAGGGCATTTTCAAAAACTCAATGTGGGCTCTTTAACAGAGATGTTGAATGTAAAATAAGATGAATAAATAAAAAGTAAGGAACATCCTGGATCTGTTTTTTGCTCTTCTTTACTCTTTACTTTTTTTATTAATTTTTTTAATAATATAATAGAAGTTTTGGACCCGGTTTCGGAATTAGGAGATCAAGGGCAAAAAACCTGATCTGGCCATTCCAGGGTATTAAGGATGTCCCATCAAAATATCCCAAGATATTTACATATTTTGGCGTTCTCCCTTATCTTACCCATTAACTTGAGGTTTTGGAGTCTCTTCTAATGTACCGATGAGTTGATTTGAGTGTGTTTGATTGAGAGTAAGAGGTTGAAAATGTGTACTGTTGGTGTGCTCTAAGGAACAGGGTTGGGAAACACTGTTCTAGAAAGCCATTTGATAATACCAGTTAAAACCGCACTTTATTACTGAAAGCTCATGTTTTCCTTTGTTTAGTTTTTTTAACAATCCCAAAAGTTGACCTTTAACATGAGTGTGATACATGCAGATGCTTAAGGTGTTTCTCCGGGAAGACTGAACAGCTCGCACGTCTGTCATCTATAATGATCCTGTAGGCACACTTCTCAGACAGTTGAGATGTGGTAAGAGTTGTGAATGGAGTGTGCCAGGCCTTTCAAAGCTGAGTCATCCACTTCATTAGACATTCGCCAGAAGGTCTTGTCACCGTGCCAAAATGTTTCTAGATATTGTTCACAACTACGTCTCCTAACTCTCAAAAGAACAGTCAACCAGTTTGACCTGTAACGGCGAAGTCCTCGGGAAAGCCCGCTGTGAACACATTGTTTGTCATCGCTTACTGCTAAACATTGGAGCATTAGCATATGTTTATAAATATGTGGTCGGTGTTGTAATTTCCAGAACAGTGTGTAGCTCAAGGACTATTTTGAAACCTTCAGCATAGCCTTCAAACTGGCTGTTTATTCAGAATTCCACATGTGAAATAAATTAATTAATTGTATCCAGCAGAAGGGCATGATTTGAAAGGCTCATTTAACACAGCTTGGTAATGTTTGTTGGGTATAAACGCCTTTGGTGTAATGACCCTTTTGGCTTATTTGCCTTTTGGACCGGTGGTCTTTGACTTAACTGGGCACACTTCACATGAGGTTGAGAAACTGTTAGAGGTTTATGTGGAGTGTGCCAGGCTTCAGGGTGCGATTTTTCACAGGCTATGGTCTTAATTGAAGGGCACTTAAGGGAAGTGACAGCGTGGGACCTAAGACTGAGTCCTCTTCTCATAGAAGATAGTTGAATCTTTTTTTCCTTCTTCTTTTAGAAGAGATTTGAATTTTAGTGGTTCATAGTTTGTTTCTGTGCTTCAGCATGTGCAGCATTAGCTCAATTACATAACCGTGCCGATGAGAAACATTTGTTTTATTTAAAACTTTGTGGCTGATAAGATAAAAAAAATAATAATAATAATGTTCTTGTACTCAAAGTTATTCTATTTAAATACTGAATTAACAGCAATGAAGTGAAATAAAACAAATATATTTTAAATATTTCTAGTTAACAATTTTTAATTATTATATATTATTTAATATTTATAATTTATAAGATATTAAACTGAGTTTGTTTGACTTTTTTCATCTTTGCTGCCACTTTTAAACAATTTATTGTCCTTGTTCTTGGACAATAATCTTACTGACTCAAATCTTTACAATACTTTCTAATAGGGATGTAACGGATTAAGGTTGATCTGTGATTCGTGTGGATCACAACCCACCGTTCGGAACACATGTCCCCTGTGGATTAATAAACAATATATATATATATTTTTTAATGATTAATCCTAAATTTGTAACGATCGCAGAAAGATCGCCTCTCGCATTGTTCAAATTACATGACATGATTTTATCACACATATGAAAACATTTAGGCTTTCCTGTAAAATATAATGATGACAGAAGAAGTTTTGGTGGGTTATTCGGTATGTAGTGGGTTTCTTAGGTTTATAAAGGAGTTTTCTGTCACGACTTGTTTAGACGACATTAATGCATTCAGTGTAAGCTGCTCTATTAATCATTTAAAGATCAAGATCTCAACACCCACACAAAAAGTTATAAATGATAGTTATTTGCATATGTTTATTAATCCTTCGAATCGCTGCATTCAAATCTAAAAGTGCAAAAATCAAGAGAAATTCAGTCTTTAGTCTTGGGTTAATTACATATGTTACAAACAGTCAAATAACACAGAGGTACTGGAATAACAGCTTATAGTTTAGATAAAACCACTTATGTTTATGGTAAAGATTAATATCACTGTCATATGCATTTAATGACGCTCAAAAATGAAAGTTGTAGGTAGCAATTAAATTGTTTAATTTAAATAATTAACCAGCCATCAAAAATATGCCACTGAATAATTCTTCAAAAATTATACATCTAGCAATGAAACATGAACTTTTATCAGTAAATAACTGAATAATTTATTAATAATGAGACCAAAAATAAAAATGGGTTGTACAAATGATAATGTCAGATTTCTACATTTGGTGTTGTCATCAACAGAAGTAGTAACAGTGAATTTCACAATACTGAATATTTTACTATTTATTTTTATTCAGCAGATTATTTCGTCATTTTATTATTTATATATAAATACAGGTTCTAAGTTCTAAGAAACCAAAAGTTTCTTGTAATACAATGTTTTTGTAATAAATGGAAAGCAAATTACCTTTGTCTTCTCCCCTTTTTGGCTGGTCTGAAAAATGGTCCGATCCATGACTTAAAGAAACCATAATGTGATTGGAACTATAAGATTTGTGATCGGTAAAACCTTTACTTTCAAATGTTGATTTGGATGGTTTAGCATAAAGAATAGATTAACCCTAAAACACACATTAATGTTCTGCTTTATTCTAAATAAAATACCTGTAATATAAATATATATTGTAATTAAATCTGTATTTAATCTAATGAGAACATATTGAAGAGCGAAAAAATGAAAAGACATGCTTGATGTTCATCAAATGATGTAATCAAATAAAAACATTTTCATTAAATTAGTTAAAAAGCAGTGTTCACTATTACAAGTCCATGTCTGACAGTGCAGAAATGCAATTTTTTTTTTTTTTACTCTTTTTATATTTATCTTGTGTATTTTCACCAAAGATCTCTAATTGAGTGACTTTTCCCATGTAGTGAACTCAAGTCTTTACTTTCCCCTTAGTTTCTGCACTTTATCTGTTGATTTGTCCACTGGAGGGCGCCAGAGCAGTTTTAGTACAGTGAATGACTGCAAAAGGAGAATAGCAGAGGTCAGGAACAGGCCCTCATCCCCCCGCTGTCATGTGAACAGTCCAGCGGGCAGCATGTGGTGCTCCTGGATCCCTGTAGACAGATGCAGCTGAATATTCATTGGCTGCAGTGCACTGATTTATTGTTTTTCAAAGACTGAGGAACTATATAAATCTTTTTATTTATTTATATTTATTTAATATGCCCAAAGTAATTTTAGCAGTTCTTGAAGTCTTCCCGTGAACTATATGCAGTAGTAGAGGGTGCTGTGGTCAACAGAGTATGCTGACTGTACTCTGACCTGTGGCAATAAACTGTTGGTCTTGTATATTTACATTCCATTTCCTGTTGGTTCACTGGAATTCTGCAAAAAGCATGGTATCATGTAGGTTTCCATCCATTTAACCCTGTCAGTCTGCAAGGATCAACAAACACTTTTATCAGAACTTTTACTGCTAATGCGTTTTTGCGTATCAGGTATTGCCTAGTCTAACCCTAATCTAGTTTGCATGAATTCTCCTCATACCCACATGCAGTGACTTGATGTTCCAGTGTACTCAGAAAACCAGTCTACATGCATCTCACCACTCTCTTTTTTTTCTTTTTTTCCAGATTCCAGATGAGTTTGATAATGGTAAGTCTTCCACCTTTCTGAAGGCATGTAAGGCACTTTGTTGTTGTTTTTTAAATGATGTGGATTTGTGCTTGCTTTGTTGTTGTTGTTTTTTTATACTTCAGCAAGTAGTATCCTGAAAAAAATGGTTCATCAATAATATATAATGTTATTATCATTTATTCACCCTTGACTTGTTCCAAACAAGTTTGAGTTGTCTATTTTATTTGTTCAAATTTATTTAGATATTTTGAAGAATGTTGAAAACTTGTAATTATTGACATCCATAGTAGGAAAAGCAAATACCATGGAGGTCAATGGTTATCAGTTGCCAACATTTTAAAAAATATCTTTTTTTGTTCAACAGGAGAAAAAAAAACTGGTTTGGAACAACTCAAGGGCGAGTAAATGATGACAGAATAGTTTATTTACTATATAAGAACTATTTCTTTAAGATAGTTTTAGAAATCCATTGGATTTGGCCTGTTTTGAAATTAACCCTACGTCAAGAAACCTTGCAGATGTTCACCTTACTGATTTAACAGTTCAGTCTTTTTAAAAACATTGAATGTGTCTATCTATATATCTCCAGTGCTTAGATGGAAGTTAGCATGACAGCAAGATCTCAATTATGTGCAGCCGTTCAGTCTACAAGCGTGAAATGCTGGTATTCCCTGTGCATTTAAATGCAGAGCATTATTTATCCCCTTCACAGCAGATGAGGACCCTTCTGGCCTGTTTGTTGTGTGTGTTTGTTCACCTGTCAGGTTAGCAGGGCACATGATGGATTTCTGGTGCCACACAGCACATTTACTCAGTGCCAGCGGGTGTCACCACACTTCACAGCCAAATGTTCCAGGGGGCTGAACCCCAGCTCTTGACCCCTGTATGCATCAATCTCTCAATTACACGGATTGGCCCTATACCAGTGCCATGTCACATGTGCCAATTCACGTTGGCATTTGTTTTGTTGCCCGTTTTCATGCAGCATTGACTCTTAATTGTGTGTTTTTAAATTATGAGGCTTGTGCTTCTTCTTTTTGTCTGTTTTAAGGTAACTGTTCACACAAAAATAGAAATTCAGTCACCATGTAATGTTATAACCATGTGTCATTTCTAACGTGTGTGACTTTTGTTACAACATAAAACATTTTTAAAGAACATTCTGGCCGTTATAACAGATATATTTTACATTTGACATCCATTTATGTCCCTTTGAAGTTTGGAAACTGTTGAATTAATGTGGAAAAACATATACAGGCAAAACAAAATAATATCGTAGCTCCTGACAATGTATTGAGGTCTCATGAAGCATAATGACCATTTTTATTTTTAATAATGTACAATGTATTGCACAGAACAATTGTTTGGCTTCAAAATACCTGAAACACATATTTGCGGGTGTTAACTTTGTTTAATCCACATGCATTTTCCTGGCTCTCATTAATTATTCATTCTTTTTTTTTTATGAATCAACAAAAAAAAAAAAAACAGTGTCTTTATCAATGGTCTTCATAGTATAAATGCTTTTTTTTTTAAAGCAGCAATCTAATAAATACATTTATTGTACTTAACTACCTAAAAAATATTTATATCTTATTCTGTAATAAATAAATATTATAAACTCTATTTATAACCCTAATGAATATGGAAATAGGCAGGGCTTAATTTGTGCCAGGACACGCGGGATGTGGCACCTATGAAAACTAGTACTGCACCTCATTTTACCAATCCCCCTCCTTAACCGCTCTTCTCCCCCATTCGCTGTTCACTTTCACTTTCTTCCGTGACTCTTCAATCTTCTTCACCTTCATACGCGACAACCCTGCGTTCTTCACTTTTGTCATTATGCCATCCGTCGACCCCACCCCTCGCAATTCACAAATTAAGCACTGGAAATAGGAAATATCTTACAACCCGTCTAGCTGCATGTTACAGTTTAAAAATATTTGACATTAAACCTTATGCAATATACATTACAAATCTTTGATTTGCATATTTTATTAATTGAATTCATCCTTACAGATTTTATCTAAAAAATTTTGTATTAAAGGTTTTGTATAAAGTTTCTAAAAAGATTTTGTATAAAAAGTATTATTGGACCAGTTATTTGTAAAATTTACTTTAAGCTTCACAAAAGGAAACTCATAAAAGTTTGGTACTGTATGAGGATGAGAAAATGATGATTGAATTTTATTTTATTTTTTCTCCTGTGGGTGTGATGTTCCTTTAAAATTGCCTTCCTGTCAGTGACTGTGTTTACATGGACATCAGTAATCAAATTATTTGCCTCATTTGAATAAGACAATATTATGGTAATGTTTACATGAGTTGCTTTTTGAAAGTTAGTTTCATGATCCCGTTTTGTATGTCATAGCACATAATTCGATTAACGTCACTGCATCAGCATGCTATCCACTTTTTCTCTGGAGTTTTATGTAATTTTGCGTGTTTAATTCTTAATTTGTTGCCTTTAACTGCAGTTTGCCACTTTCACTTTCATTCAGGAACATTTTATGCATGCCCCCGGTCGTTTGGGGAGTAAAAATCTGCATATCTCGATGCAGGTATCTGTGGTCCTTCACTGACTCGGTAGGTGCAGAGAATAGTGTCAAACAGCCGTGTGTGTATATCCTGTCACAAAATGCAGCGAAAATCCTACATGACAGTAAGAGTTTGATAGCTGCGTTTACATGTCTGTACTGCACTTCAATAATGCGACTTAAATTGGCATACTCCACATGTCTTAACCTGATTTTTTTTTTAGTTTGATTATGATTTTAATCGAATGAAATTAATAAAGAATCGCTGTTTAAATGGTAGATTCTTAATGCGAGTATTGTCTTAATCATATTAAAATCAGATTATTGATGTCCATGTAAAAATACTCACTGAAATAGCTGGTTTATGCTAACTTCATGTGTTTGTTCGTCTCCAAGCAAATTTATAACGCCATCAACCATAGATACTTCATCTTCAGAGCAGGCATCAGCATTAATAGAGTGAAGGTAGACGCTACATTAAAGCAGACCACCTGCTATTTTCATTTGCCCGCTGATGTTGATTGAGATAGCAGGCAGCTTTCGCATCCTCCACGCGATCGCTCGGTCTCATCATAATTACGTAATTAATTCTACACGTTCCCTGTAGTGTCCTTCTCTTCCCACACCACCTCGATTTATTACCTCCGAGCCTGGAGCACTGCTGTCCAACACTAATGCTCTTATAGCTTTTAATGCCATAACGAAGGGCTATGATTACTTTAGGGACCGAGGTGAAACGCCTACTTCCTCATGGGAGTGGAGAAGCAGGTTTTCGGCCTCCTGGGCCCAGATTCACCCTCCCTAACACAGCAGAAGGCCAGCGTGATGAAGAGTAGACCCTTGATAAGCAGCGTCCTCTGGGAGACGGGACAAGGCACACTTCTTTAAAAAAAAAAACCTTTTCTGCCTTGCCAAGTGACGGCATTCAATGCAGGACGCGTACATGTGCCTCCCGCGTCAGTCCGCCTCATTATCAGGAGCGGCATCACTCAATTTGCACAAGATGGCAACTGGCCAGTCTCTTTCACATGAAGTTATGTTTGTTATGCGACTGCAGAGACTAAAAAAATAAATCTTCCCAGTGTGTTTGTTTGAAACCTTGGAAACTGCTTGCTCGGTTTTATTTGTATAATGTTTGGAATTTAATGACAGATTCACCATTACCTGGGTCTGTTATCTAAAATGACATGTGTAGTCTTGTAGAGTGTTGATTGAGATGTATGTGGAGGAGGAATTGTTTTGCTTGAGCTTAAACGGACAAAGATTTCATAACAACTTACAGCTACATAGTAATCAGGAAATAAAATTAGAAAGCTGTTTAACATGCTCTGGTGTGAAAACTAAAAAGTATACATTTTTAGTTTATTTCCATTATTATACTGCATTGGAAAATGCTACTGATTCAAACTTCTAAGGAAAATTATCTTGAGGCTTTTAAACCTAGAAAAATAACTGAAAATAAGTTTGTCTAATAGATTTTGGTTGGATGTTTGTTTATTTTTGTCTGTTTGGATGTTTTTATCTGTTGACTAGGAGGAAAAATTACAGTGAAAGTGACTAAAAAATACACAAAAGCAAACAAAAAGTGCTCAGGGGCAGCTTAAATAATGTGTTGTTGCTCTGTAGGTAAGGGGTTCATCAAAATAAACAGCAAAAACCAGTTCAAGGCACTCAAAAAATGTGGAAAAATATTAAAAAGCCTTTCTTGACATGGCTATTTCTTATAACTGTGCCTGTTTTAGGAATAGTCGTGTCAATAAAGGCTTTTTAATATTTTTTCCACATTTTTCGAATGCCTTGGACTAATTTTTACTATTTATTTATTACTTTTTATTTATCACTTGCATGTTAAATATGTCAAATATCTGAATGGTAATATACTTATTTTTCTCTCTTTATATAGTATACTCTATGTAGGGTTGTGCGATTAATTAAAATCATATCGAAATCATGATTTAAATGTGTGAATTCCAAATAGCCTTACAGCACAATTTCTTATGATCTATGCATGGCAAAAATATTTGTAGAGTGTGGACATGTTAAAAGTAGACGCAACTACTTCTGATATGTGCTCAAGCAGAACCTCAGAGGCTTACTTGAGTTTGACGGCACACACACACTAAATTATTACTTATTATTATTATTAAATTAACACTTAATTTATTTGTTTTGTCATAGGCCTGTTCTAGAGACAAATTGTTACACTTTTATTAGATTTCTTTCATTTTTTTTCCCTTTTGTCTGTTTTAGAGACATGTTACAGTAGGGCTGGGCGACTTAATCGAAATCGACATTTAAAACCTCTAGTCGATCTAATTTTTCCAGGAAAATTTTATCAATTACTTTCCCAAACTGTTTGTGAAGTCACGTGACCCTGCTCTGTTAAGACTAAATTATACTTCTATTATGATTTATACTTATAATATTATGATATTATACTTCTGCCAAAGGCAATAGTGCAGTCCTGCGCAGCCTTCGCCTTCTCAAAAAAAATGTAATTACATCTCGCACCGACGCCTAGCGCAAGCTTTGTGATTGGTCTGTTTGGTAGCAGGGTGGCGCAGAGAGCCGAGTTTTAGGCAATGTGTGGTTTAATTTATTTGTTCAGCGTTGATGTTCAATAAATAACGATAGATAGTAGATAGTGTGTGTTTACTTTTAATTATTTTAAAATCAAGTAATGCACCCTACATTCAAAAATCTCTCACTTGTGATATGAGAGCATATTTACCGTACAAATACTATGAGGGCAAAAACATCAAATAAATACATAAAATAATCTCTCACTGATCGTAATATAGTTAAAATGTTCAATTAATTGAGATTTCGATTTTAGGCCTAATTGCCCAGCCCTATGTTACATTCATTTTTTTTTCAGCTTAGTCTCTTTATTAAAACGGCAGAATGAACCGACAACTAGCATGTTTTTATGCAGCGGATCCCCTTCCAGCCACAACCCATCTCTGGGAAACACTCACACACACACTCATTCACACACTCATAAACTATGGACAATTTAGCCTTCCCGATTCCCCTGTATCACATCTTTGGACTGTGGGGGAAACCGGAGCTCCCAGAGGAAACCCACGCAAACGCAGGGAGAACAACGCAAACTGACTCAGCCGAGGCTCGAACCAGTGATCCAGCGACCATCTTGCTGTGAGGCAAGCACAACCTACTGCGCCACAGCGATTTAAAGATTTAATTATTTTTAGTTGAAAATACATTTCAGTTTCACACTGTAAAACATCTTTGTGTGTGTGATTAGAATCGAAATAGTAATATTGTTCAAGAAAATCGTGATGAGTTCCTTTTGCCTGTATCGCAAAGCCCTAATTCTATATACATAGTATAGTATATACTATATTCTATACATTTACTGAAAAAACTGATTCTAAATGATATTTATTGTGAAAAGAACCACTGTTCCTCTTCAAAAAAAGAAAACCATCTTCAGTAGTTTGTTGTTCTTATTCCGTCTCTTGTTTGTTTCCCTTGAAACAATCACCCAGTTCAGGGTTGACTACACTTGGGCAAATTAATTAATTTTGACAGTGATTTTTGTTGTTTACTTCAACCTTGTGTCTTTGTACTTGGAGAATAGTTTGACCTCGAGCATAAAATGCCTCATTAGCAATTTGTAAGTCATCCAGAAGACACTAGCCCATGTCTGGTACTCTATCCACACAGAACAGTTAGATCCCCATAACACAGCACAGAGAGAGGGGCCGCACCTAAAGACCACTTTTCATGGCTGGAGAAAGCAGCGATTGACAGGGAGGAAAAAGGCAAGAGGCACCCAAAGAATGGGATGGAAGAAAGGCAATTGAGTAATGGCCTTTGGCAAACTAGCAAAGCATATGCTAGCCCACTGCAGGATTAAAGGAAGTCTTTGTTGTGTCCAGAGGCCTAGCCATCGATCTTCCTCTCCCTCCCTCCTTGCCTAAAAACTCAATGGACATCCCTCCGGAGAGCCACGGGCAACAATAGACTCCTCGCCATTTACACTGACAAACAAGGTTAGCACAAGAGACTCTTCAAAGCGCACACAGTTGTTCTGCGCTTCTCCGGTGTCGACTTGGATCAGTCTTCTCGGTAACGGTTCTTGCAACTGTTCACTCTTTGTATTGATTTCGGCCAAGTGGAAAGGGAATGACTTATGCCGGGACAGATGTGTGCCAGTTTGCACCGAGTTAAACAGATGATTGAGGTCGATGGAGAGGATAAACTTTCTCCAAGCGCCCCTTTAGAAACCATGAAAGAGAGAAAACAATAGTTCACCTACACAGCCATTCAAAGTTTTGGGGTCAGTTTTTCCCTCTCTTTTCAGCAAGGACACATTCAATTGATTAAAGGTGACAGTGAAACATTTGTAAATTGAACAAAATGTTTCCATTTTAAATTTTCTTTTGATCTTTCTATTCATCTAGATGAGGAATAGTATTTAATTAGACTGGCATTACAGGACTCAATGGCATTGTTGTTTTTATTAACAAAATGATTTTCTGAACTAATCATTTTTCATTATATTACTGTTTTTACTGTATTTTGTTATGAAATGAATGCAGCCCTGAATGCAGAAATATTTGTAAAAAATGTATTAACCTCAAACTTTTGGCTATCAATGTAAAAGGAAAACTTCTGTCATTATTAACTGACCTCCGCTTTCTTCAAATAACCGGTTTTTAACATATGGCAGGCAGAACGGGATCAGTGCTCTGAAAATAAACTTTTTGAAATCCAGCCTGAAATGGGAAGAAAATCCAAAATATTTTTTTTTAACTCCAGGCTTGATGAGATTTTCAGAAGATGTCATATCAGACACCCACTCGCACATGAACATTTACTCAAAGGAGATGTCAATATTGCAATAGAAACACAGCTGTTAACACTTTACAATAAGGTTGTATTAGTTAATGTTGGGTAATATGAAGTTTACTAAGATGAACAAACAATAAATACATTTTCTACAGTATTTGTTTATGTTAGTTAACGTTTAGTCATGTTTACTCATGGTGCAATAATATTTACAAACATGAATTTGTATGTTAATAATGGATTATGACATGATGAATTATGATTAATAATTGCTCTACAAGTTTTGTTCATATGTAGTTCTCATGTTAGAAAATGCATTATCAAAGTGCATCAAAACCAGTCCCTTCTTGTATCTAAAGTAGGCCTGCACAATATATTGTTTCAACATCACTTTCGCAATGTGCAAAAGTCGCATTGCAGGATGTCAAGCAAATTCAAGTCAATTAAAACAAATAGGAAGAAATTATAAAGTTTGCCACTTTATAAAGATTATTTGTTTACTTGTTTATAGGATGACTGTAGTGTTACTTTACATTTGATTATTAAATGTATTATTTGCTTTATGTTCTATTTGTGTCTCATCTGTGCTTTAATTAATTTTTTTGTGTTATGTGTATATATATATATATATATATATATATATATATATATATATATATATATATGAGCAATTCAATGCAAATGTCAACCTTATATGTATGTGTACACATTTTGCAGATTCACTCCCCTAAAGAAATAATCCCAATCGATGTAAAATTATGAATTCTTTCCAAATAATCGTCTTGTAAAATTATATTTGCGCTATATGTCGCAAAAAAAAAAATATTGCAATTTTTCTAATATTGTGCAGCCCTAATCCAAAGTCTTTACATTTCAGTCTGATAATATTATCATTCATTCTTTTATTCATTTTCTTTTCTGCCTAGTCCCTTTATTAATCAGGGGAATAAACCTCAAACTTACCCAGCACACGTTTTACACAGCGGATGCCCTTCCAGCTAACCCATCTCTGGGAAATACCATACACACTCATTCACACTCATACATACACTATGGACAATTTAGCTTACCCAATTCACCTGTACCGCATGTCTTTGGACTGTGGGGGAAACCGGAGCTAAGCGGAAACCCACGCTAATCCAAGGAGAGCATGCAAACTCCACACAGAAATGCCAACTGACCCAGCCGAGGCTCAAATCAGCGACCTTCTTGGTGTGAGGCGACAGCACTACCTACTGCGCCACTGTGTCGCCCTGATAATATTATAATAATGATAAATATTTGTTTTACGCAGCTTTCAAATTAAATATCTTCTGAAGACTTTATGGTTTGTCAAATTTTACTGTGCTTATTTGATTAAAAGTTCCACACAATTTTTAATTCTTTTTTAGAAGAAAGTCGGTCAATGGAATGACATTAGGGCAAGTAAATAAAAACAATAATCTATTCCTTGTGTTTCATTATAGGCCATGTTTACACTCGATCTGTGATCAAAAGTGGATGTTTACATAATATAGATGTAAACGGGATCTGAAAAATGTTGTGTGTCGACCTTTTAACACTTCCAGAGGTAGCCAAAAACGCATTCAACCAGATGCTCATGCTCGAATGCATCAAATCTGCAAAAATGCAACCTAAAGAAACAACCACTGTCTCCCTTCAGCTTAAATGCGATGATAAGACGTCCATCTCATCTCGCTCATTAGTCTCAAGGGATAGCTTCCTCCATTGAAGACTGCCAACAGGCACATGCTCCCTCAAAGAGTGCAAACACTCCCCCTCCGAACTAATCAAAAGAGAAAGAGGAGAAAAGGAGGGAAAGCGGCCGGAGGAGAGGGTGTTTAAGCACTTTGTATGGTCCCTCCCCCTTGTCTCCTAATCAGCCTCTGTCCTCGTGCCCTGATGTTGTTGACGTGCCCCTCGGCAGGACGACGGCATTAACAGACGCACAGCGAGCAGGCAGGAGGCGCGTGGAACCTGTGCCGCCACTTTATCTGTCCTTTCTGCCGCTCAAGCTGGCATATGGCATGTGGTGATTGGAGGGAGTAAAATGGGGCTAATCACTTTAGTTTGAGTGATGTGGGGATGTTCTAAAGTGGCCATTATTGTTAAATGCTGTCACGTGGTTATTATAATTAAGCTCCAAAGCATTTACAATACTTTTTAACATCTAATCAATGAAACGTGAACATTATTTTCATGTATTCATCTGATTTCTCTTTCCTATAGATGTTCCTGTCATCCAGCAGCTTAGAAGAACCTTTAAATATTTCAAAGATTACAGACAGGTTGGAGGATTGAAGAATAATCCCAATTTCATGATTGCTTCATGATAAAGAGTTGGTGTTAATAAGTTATGTTTTTGTTTTTGTAGATGATCATCGAGCCCACAAGCCCAAAGCTTCTTCCAGACCCTCTACGAGAGCCTTATTACCAGCCTCCATATACTCTGGTGCTGGAGCTCACAGATGTCCTTCTCCATCCAGAGTGGTCGGTATGTGTCACAGCTCAATTCAGATGTTCACGAGATTTGGGGATTTGCATTTGAGGATTTAGAACAATATCATTTTGTTTAATATTAATAAATGCTTTGCAGGAATAAATTGTATTTTTAAATGTAAAAGATTTATTAATATTTGTTAAACATAATTTTGTATTCCATAACTTTTATCAGTAGTTCAAAATAGGGTTGGGCCGATAGATGATGCATCGTTCATCGCTAATAGACAATATAATGCTGAGCTGGCATTGCCGATCCTCCGCCCCGCCCCCGTGGCAAACCCGCTCGTGAAAAATACGCACTTAGGCCCCGTTTACAATAATAAATCTTAGTATTAAAATGGCATTTTAGAACGAAAATGATCTACATCCACACAGTGTTTTACCTAGCATTTCTGAACAGCCCTCCGTCTGCTAAAAATACACATCATGTGACCACACAGCCACACACACTGTCATGCGCTCGTCTGAGCTTGAGAGAGCAGTGCACATCGGCCGTGCACATCGACCAGCAGTGCATTTAGCGACCAACCTTCCGCGGAAAAAGTGATTGACGGTTGTAATTTGTGTGCAAATTTTCTATTTATTTATGATTTTTTTATGGGTAAAGCTATTTTTAGTTATATAAACTAAAATTATTCATAAATAATTCATTCACCTCCGATAAGACGACGATGCCATGGTCTATCCCGATGTTTCACATTAGACACCGTACGATGCCAAATTGGTCAACATCGCCCGACCCTAGTTCAAATTAAAGTAAATTCAACTTAATAATAAATAAATTATTGTAAATATTCCTCTTTGTGCCAAACTTTGGAATGTATTCAGAGGTTTCACATGATTTTTCAAGTCATATGCTTCTTTTGTCAATTCAATTTTAATGAACTTGCATTGTGAGATATACATTTGATTAATATTATAAAACAAATGCTACTGGAAATCATTTCCAACCTAGAGCAAAATCAAATTAAAAAAATGAATATATCATATTTCAAATTATCTCACAATTACACGGTTACAATTGGAGACATGCTTCCAGAATGTGATAGGGCTCCAACTTTGGCCTTATTACAGGATGTTAAATAAGTCTTTTGTGTTTCCAAAACGTGTCTGTGAAGTTTCAGGTCAAAATATCCATCAGATGATTTTTTTAATACTCTGTTGATAATGCCAATTTTTGGGTCAAAGAGAACTGCAGTTGTTTTGGTGCCTGCATGTGCCTATTGAAAATTAGCTGGTTGCCACACTCTCATAAAATTTTGCTTCAGAGAAGGATTTCCAGGGTCAGATATCAGGATAAACAATGCAAAAATGACAGACAGCAACACGATTGAACAATGACACTTTAAAACAGAGACCCACAGTCACATTTACTACAGCTACAACTAAACCACGCAGAAATGCTGTTATAACATTCAAGGTAACAACACACACACGCACGCACGCGCATTTATCACGTTGTGCGGTTTTTGCTCATCTACTCACCAAATGGATAATTAGGCAGCTGTATAGAGATCCATTATAGCTAAAGTCCACAAACCCGGACTCCTGTTGTATGATTAAAGCGCCCTTGTTTATATTTGTGCACACTATGCGGTGAGCAGTTATGAATTATGTAGCTCAAAAAGTATAGTTCAAAATGCTATAAAAAATACAAACTGTACCACATACTGCTTCTTGATGTTCAGCTGTATCACAGAGAGTTGGAACAGATCTTTTAAATCTTAAAGTTTCTTTGCAAATTTTGTCTTCTGGAAATTTTTATAGACGTTACTATTGGCACAAGATAATAAGCGCCTGATTGTGGATTAATATTAGTGGGCAAGGGAACCACACTGCCATGTCATGTTGCAGTAGGCCCAAAATAGGATTTAGGTCCTATTTTAATGTCATTTTAAAATAAAAAAATATTTAAAAAAATAAAAAACGCAATATCACTGCAGTATGACACAGTATATCTACACACTTGTCCAAACAGCTTCCAAAAGTTGATTTTGCTCAATAGCTGCCTATTAAACAAAAAAGAACAATCTAAATGCTATTTGAAATAATTTTATAAACTTATTTAAAATATTAAAGACAATAGACCCTTTTACGCAGTGATACCAGTAAATATCCATAAAATTTCGGGAACAACTTTACCTGTAAATTCATAAAAAAGGAAAAGACCATTTACACGTATATTAAAAAAAAAGGTAAATTCAGACATCATTAACCAGAAATGGCCTATAAATGGCGTCACTTGTATTTGTAAACATAGAAGAGGTCTGGCAATTGTGTTTAGTGTAGAAGGGGTTTTCACTTTTATTTAAAGCTTTATCATTTGTGCAGCTGCTTATGAGACATCTAAAGGCAGAAACGCGAACCGCAGCTAAATGTTTACACGCTTGACTATGTTACAAACTCTGTGGATGATTAAGTGTTGTGAACAACTGCGATGAAAACGTATGGAGGAACACTTTCGCATATCGAGATGTGCATAATACTGTAAGTGTGTGTGCTGGCGCTAACCATAACACGTCTGCACTTCATGTGCACAAGCAACTGAAACAGCTTGAAGGTAAACGCATAGCGGTTTATCATAAGCATTTTGTCGATAATTATTTACACAGTTAGCATTAAGAAGGAACATAGAAATGTTATGTGACTAACATCTAGCAGCTTAATGTGTTTGGATAAATATGCAAAGGCTTTTATTTTCATAAACAGCACGCATGTGATTGCATCTGAGGGTTCTGATTGGCTAAATTAGACTTCTCTCACATCAGCGCTTTCTGCATGTGAACGCGCTCTTTCCGGCAATCTGCCTTCTGCGTTCACAAAGTGCAGCAGCATGTTACAACTTCTTCTCTTTTTTTTTTTTTTTTTTTTTTAGGAAAATTGCCGGAACGAATTTACTGGTATTTTCAAAAAGGGCCTGTTCACACATGCAGACTTTTCCGGAAAATTGGCAGTAATTTTTCAGAAAGGTCTGTATGTGTAAAAGGGGCTAATGGTTATTCATAAATTTAGAGTAATTTTGAGAGTTAAAAAAAATGCTTGAAAAAATATATATATGTTTAAAAAAATACCTGTGTTACAAACTTGATAAAACCCTGATGAGGTCTTATGAAGCAGAAGCAAAAGAACCTGAACATTATTTGCAACAAAATTACCTTTTAATCCAAAGCCTCTGGAAATGTTTTACTTTTATAGGACTAACATCAGAGGGCACAGGTATTTATATTGTGTTGCCTTTTTTACTTGGTAATTAACTTGCATTTTATGAAGCGCCAAAATCCAGGTTTCAGCTAGAGCTGCACAATTGATTGAAAAAAGATTGTGATCTTGATGCAACCCCCTAGATGATATTAATCCAGCATTTCTACGATTCTGCCAATCGTATTTTCAAGTTCAGGAGAGAAGAAAAGGCGGCTGCAAGAGTCTTTTCATTGTTTCGCACACGTTGTTCAGTGACTTGGACGCCTCCAAATCATGTTGAAAGAGTCACATGTATAATTCACCTAAAAAATGTCATTTTTGTCTTAATATAATGATATTTTCGCGGCCGACATCACAGGTGACGTGAGCTACTGACTGTGCGGGCGCGCGCCCGACTTAATGATAGACGCGCGCGCATCTACTTTAGTGAACAGAACCCGCATATGCTGTGAGTAACAGGTAATAAAGTTGTAAATAATATTCAGTTTGTGGCACAGAGTGATCATTTGAGAGCCGCGTGCGAAGTATGAACAGCACTTGGTAATGAAAATGAAACTAAAAGCGTGCTCATCATTTAAATAATCATATCACATTTTAGAGTTATGACGGCGACAAGCATCTGATGTTTTTTCTTTCATAGCGAACACACAGTTGTGCTTGAAAATAATGTTTACAGTGTCAGTATAACTACTCTAGCCTGTATAATGTTGATTTTACCAGTGAATTAAATGGTCTAATAATGTTCTCAATGACAGATTGCAAGCATAGGCCTATATCTCAAACATAATTCAACATTAGTATTATTATTAGTAGAATAGAATTATTTATAGAAACCATTAGACCTACACTTAATATTAATATTGTCGTTTTAACTTATGTTTAAGAAAAAACAATAATCTCATATTAAGCTTTATTTTACATCTATTGAATCGTGAGAGAATCGAGATCTTTATTTTAAGCAAAAAAAAAAAAAATAGCGATTCTCATTTTAGCCAGAATGAATTAGAATTAGTGCAGCTCTAGTTTCAGTTAAAAGTCTTTAATGGCCTACTGTAGAAAGATGTGATCTATATCTTGGAGAGAAAGTAAATTACAGCAAGACGCCCATTCTGTTCCAATGTAAACACAACTGTACCTGCTGTAGCATATTTTGAATTTACACACTTGTATAATGTGTGTATTTTCACCATATCCCACCCGCAATGAAGTCTTTTTTATATATATAACAGCATATTCGTGGGGTCTTCAAGTCTTAAATGTTAAAAACAAAATTTTCAGCCTTAAAAAGTCTTAAATTCACTGAAATTTTGTGCTGTAGTTCTTAAATAATTTAAAACAGGTCTTAATGTTCCTATGTCCATGTAAAGCTAGTCAATCAGGTAACAGCTATCCAATCACCAATAGTCCATCTCAATAAAAGTTAACAAATTTACAAACTTTTACCAACATGGATTAATTATCTTTCTGACAATAACATTTGTTTTTGATAGTTTTTTTTTGTTTTCACTGGGTCTTTTGAAAAAAAAAAAAAAATTTGCGTTAAGCCTTGTGTAAGTCTGAAATTTCAATTATTATGGTCTTAAAAAGTCTTAACCTGTAGAAACCCTGTATAAACAACCCTCAGCCACTTATCAGTTTATTACCAGCTATCCTTATCAATTCCTATTCCGCTAATCATATGAAGCCATCTGGAGTGCTGTTTTTGGGCAACCACCTGTTGCCTCCCTTACCTACTCCCTCCTCCCCTCTTGTTCCCTGTGTACCTGGCCAGCTGTGAGGGATGGGCCACACACAGGTGACAGGTGGAGCACAGCCGCCCCGTAACCTGACACACCTCAGCAGACTGTTACCGTCCCGCACGCCACACTGATTTCTGCTAAACCTCTAGCTGCGACTGTACTCTTACTTGTTTTGTTTTGCCTTGCATGTATTCTCCGGTGTAGTTTTTCAGTGCTGCAAAGTATCTGTTACTCGGAACATTGCAAAAGTACGATTCCTATCTCATAATACAGAAGTGTTAGGTTAAGAATGATGGATTAACATGACTTGGGTATCTAAAGACATACATTTAATGCTAGCAAATGAAAATCGCTTCATTCTGCTTAGCATGCTTTCTGCACGCTGATGACTGGAATAACATTAATATGTTCCAGTAAATGACTGAGAAAGATCTTTTAACAGTGTATTTCATTATAAATGCATTCCAGATGGGACGCCTAAAGATGTTAAAGATTAAAGCTCTGGAAATTGGAAACATCACCTATGAGCAAAATACGTCATAGGTGGTATAAGAAGGACAACTTTAGTAGACTAACAGCGGAAGTCTGCTGCATATTATATCCTTTCTTCTACCTTAGCAAGCTAATGAATGTAGTTGCAAAGATAAAAAACATTGCAGTTCAGATGTTTAGGGTTAAAAGACTAGCCAAAGCTGTGTTGAATCAATTGTACAGTAAAAATGGTAATTTAGTGGAAAGGCTTGCAATTTTAAGCTCCTGTTTCCTATTTTACTGTTTGAATAATATTAATTTCTATTTTAATGTTTAAATGTTATTTATTGCCGTGATGGTATTGACTTTTTAGCATCTTTAAGGTCTGAAATTTGTGCTTTTTTAATATAGTCATATACAAAGAAAATTGTCACTTAAGCAAACCTTGCACACTGAGTCTGATGCGTATTAATTAATCTATTACAAAAAATCACAAAATAATTCAGAGTCGGTTTAAGCAGTGATACTTTGTTCACTTTAAAAGGTTTGGTTCAACCAAATTACCTCATGTTGTCCCAACACGAATCAATTAAGTTAACTGAATTGTTTTTACAAATTTAAGTGTGTTGAACATAAAACAATGAAGTTGTCCCAAACAAAACATCAAGAATTGACTTGATTCAGCTCATTTTAAATAAGTAATTAGAACAAGCATAAAAAACTGTTGTTTTGAGTGTTCTTCTCTCTTCGCCAAAATAGAAAAAGAGGAATTGACTACATATTGTGTTCAGCTCATTATCCAAGGGCTGCGCTGGATTATCCCCTAATGTAAAGTTTATTTCAGGAAATCAGTGGAATTTTGATACATTGCTTGTGATAGTTCTCACATTCTCATATGTAAACAAATTCAGAACAGACACTGGCAGTACCTAGAGACATTATAACAGATGAAGTCCGCGTTGACATGTCGAAGCAATGGACAGAAAGCAGACCATGCTTTCTATTATAATGTTTATGGGCAGTATGTAAAATGTATGGACACAAACACAGGGCACAGCAGCAGGACAGAGGTGCGCCAGTAACTGAATCCAGCATATAGGGGCTCTCAACTGTCCGCCACATATTGTCTTTATTTCATACACTATTTGTTATAAAGTAATCTGTAGCTCAAATAACAGCATTCTGTATTTATTTTTTAAGCTGTATTTAGCTTTTTGCTTGTACGATGGCGCTCAAAGCACTTTTTTTGGATGCAAACCCAGTTTGAATTTTCTTATGACAGACGAATATTTCAGAGGCAGTGTCAATATGATTGATATAACATGAGGTCAAATAAAGTATTTTACGTGTGAAAATTACAGACAAAAATTTCGGATTCAGTGTACAATAAGCTTCTCTACTCTAGACAGAGTCTTCAGTGTCATGTTTGAAATGGAGATTTTCTGTAATAATATATTTGTATTTAATATTTTTTATGACTTTTTGATTGGTTTCAGACGTCCTTGCCAAATAAAAGATTACTTTGTTTAAAAAAACTTAGTATATAAACCATCTAGATAAAAAATTGTGCAAATAACAATTTTGCCCAAATAAATGTTGTTCTTTTTCCTGGATCTTTTCTGTTTCTTCTAGTTGGCCACAGGTTGGCGTTTTAAGAAGAGGCCTGGCATCGACTACTTGTTTCAGCAATTGGCGCCACTTTATGAGATAGTCATCTTCACATCAGAGACAGGCATGGTGAGTCTCAGGGGTGATCGGGACTGTCTGTTTTCCGCAATAATGCCATTTCAATTGGCTTATTTGTTTTCGCATACATTGTTTCAAATGCAGTTGAAAGGAAACGTTTCTTGAACCCTGCTTAGCATATCGGGATACAATAGATGCTATTTTGGGAACAGCAGCACACCTTGATATTTGTTGATTCTACAAACGCTCCGTCTTGTGCAGATGTATAACATTTCGTTAATAGGGCCATTAGACAGATCCTTATGCAAAGCTGCAGTCTGTTGGTGTTTGTGTGTGTCTGTTGTTGATCTGTTGGTGTGGCACACTTCTACAGTCATGCAAATTAGCCTTGTTTTGATTGAACAGCCTTTTGCTGTTGCTTTTTTGTTTCATTCTAATGTATGCAAAAGTCAGTTCAGCTGTTTGCCATTGTGGAAAAAAAGGCCCATGCGCCACCCTGATGCTTTACAAATGTTACAGACCATTTTGAGGATTTCTGATGGGAGAAAAACATGACATTAGTAGGTTTTTAATATGTTTGGTCTCCCTAGATGATAAATGATATATGTTAAATTACTTTAAAGTAGCTTACTCAAAAAAATATTGGTGAAAATATATTCAATATATATATTTGTATCTTCAGCTGAAATTAAATTAATTTTCCTCTGTCTAAAAGCAAGTAAGCCAGACTCCTGATATGCATATGTACTTTTTGTATATGCAGATGCTCTCCTTGATCAAGTGTTTACAAGTGCCTATTCACAAGTGATTCATTTACAACTTTTCACATGATGTATGCATGTCGGGGAGGTCATGTGATTTAAGGAGCCAGAACCAGCTCATTACACGAAGAACAAAGAATTAAGCACTGTTTTACTCATATATTAAATGTATTTTTGTCTATTTAGCTAAGGGAGACCATAGGGTTGTCACTAGAGTGACAATTTGACGCGCATCTCAGTACTGAACTCACAATACAGTACTTTAAGCCAAATAAAGAAGGTATTTTTAAGGAACCATTACTTAGACATATTTTAAAATAACATACAAATTAAAAACCTATTGTTCTCTATTTAAAATGCCACATTTGAACTTTGAGAATTTGATGATTCTGTAGCTGAATTATTAAGTTAGACTTGTATGATTGCAGTACATATTAACAGGCCAGTTTTTTGCAATTATTTTGCAATATCAAAATTCCCTCTTGCAACCATATGTTAATTATATTTCACCATCTGAAATCGAAAGGTTGCTTTGAGGACAAAAAAAATTAAATGGCACATTGTGGATTTGTGTTAGAATCAGGACTTGAAAGAGGACAAAGAGTTGTGCATAGTTTTGCAGCTCTTAGAGCAGAAACAAAATCTGCTGCTCTACATGCAGATGTCCATTGTCTCCTTTCATTCTCAAATAAATCTGTAAAAAGTATTAAGCGGGAATGTGTCTCCCACATATATTTGTATTCCACAGAACAAAAACCCATATAAACCTGCATACTATAACAACAGGGTAATCAGTGTAGACTGGTCCAGTGTGATTAGACATGCTGTGCACCACATGATCAGCTGCTAAAATCAAATCTTGCTGCTGTGGCAGAGAAACATGACGATGTAGATTTCCATAAATCAAACAGGAATGTTTCAGGCATTTAACTACATACAAGTTCTTGCAAAATCTAACATTTATGATTTGTAAAATACATGTTGACAGATATATCAGTTACACATTTAGTTTACTAGAACATTTATGTTTTCATCTCCTGCTCAGACCCGAATCATGTACCAACTTCCAAGTTTCTAAAAAAATTGCTAAAGTATGTTTTCAAAGTCCTTGAGGCTTCTATAAATGAGGCCATATTATAATAATAACCCCTTATATATTCTGTGAGAAGTTGATGAATTAACATGTTGTAAATCCAACAGCTCTAATCTCTCCACTGCAGCACAGACTAACCTGACCCCGCCCACCACTCCTTATTCATCATTAAGCTGTTTAAACGAGGAAATGCATACTCCTACACATGAGAATCAGAATAGCATTTATTTCTTAGCATAATAGGGTAAATGCACACAGACTTCATTTTAGCCAGCCATCAGCTTCTAGTGAACTGTCTTTGCATTACAAAATTGCCACGTTTAAGATCTGATTTCTTTAAAATCAGCCATCTTCACTGCCTGATAGATGTACGATATGAAGTGGGTCTCAGATCAGACAAGAAGCACTGCATTCAATTCCTTTTTTCCTCACCATGTCTTTAAAATATGACCGTTTATTTTACCCCAGTATTTTTAATGGAGTTTCTGCTTGCTGCTCCTGACGGCACTAGCGGTTACACTGTCTTTCATCTCGTTTTATGTTTTAACAACTAAATGAACTGATTGTATTTCAATTACATTACAACATCGATGCTGTAAAAGCAACCTTGTTAAATAAAAAATTATGACTTTAAGTCTGCACTGGAAGTTTATCATTGGCTGAAAAGCCCTAGCTGTGCATAGAGGCCAGTGGAACATTTGTTGAGATTCAGTAACGGTCACATAAAAAACCGTATGCAGCGTGGTC